ATTCATAACTGTGACTAGACATCAAAATAAACTAGGGCTAAACTTATTAATTACAGGTTCCTGAGCCCTTTATAAAAATGCTGTATCATAATCTCCAGGGACAAGGTACAAGAATCTTCATTTTGTTTTTTGGTCTTTTTGAGACAGGGTCTCCCTATAGCCCCAGCTGGCCTGGAACTCACTATGTAGACCAGGCTGGCCTTGAATTCATAGAGATCCACCTGCCTCTGCCTCAAGAATCTGCATTTTTAAAAGTCATCTATATTTGGAACCTGGCTCATAGAAGGATCTAGACGGTGCTTATATAAAAACTATATACATTTTTGTATCAATAGAAAATAATTTCACAATCTCAAAAATATCTATATATTCACTTATGTGAGACTAATTTCCAGTAAGTCCTTAAGTCATTTGTGCCTTCATTGTCTACATAGAGATTTTAGTTACTCTTGAAAAGTAAGGCTCTTAAGAGAGGGTAATAAGAGGTGATTATGTTCAAAATACATTGTTGCTTGTATTAAATTGTCAAAAATTAAACTTAAACGAAGAGTAAGGTTCAGTTATAAATACCATAAATACCACTCACTGACTAAATTCTTTTTATGGATTCTTATTATGTATAGCAAGTTTCTGGAAAATGAAATGTCATGTATTAGAATATGCAGTTGATTATTTTAAAACTTGTCACCAAAACATCAAAACTCCACCCTGCTCTAGGATTTTGATGTTTGCCTTTCTCTGGCTTTCAATAGCACTGGTGCAGTAGGATGAATTCCCTAATTGGCAACTGAGTCCTGTGTACTTTCCCAGGTCCTCTTAGTAACATTCTATATATAGACTCTGATCAAACCAAGAAAGTCTGCTTTCAGTGCTCCAGGTTACCACGTCCTTGCATGCCTTCACACTGTTGACATACTGGTCTGTGCCTGGCATGCCCTCAGTATGACAAACTCTGTCATTCTTTTAGGTTTAACTTAAACCTAAAGCAGAATCATCTGAAGAATCTCTTTAAGTCTCTACTAGCTGAGTTCAACCCACCCTACCCCCCACACTCCCCATAGGCTCTTGTGCATGTCTCCATCTCAGCATGAGCAAGTAATGGCCATTACTAGGTTCTTCTCCATATCCCACTTGTATCCTCAGGTTTTAGCACACTTTTGGTGTGGAGTAGAGGCTTAAGGCATATTTATGTTACATGTTAACAATATTAGCTTTCATTTATCCCATAACTACCATATCAGGCTCTGTGTTAAGTGTTCTACAAACATCTTATTTAACCTTAAAAAGTTGAGCAAATAATAATGATTATTTATATTTGAAGTATCAGTTAATCCTGAGACTTATTAGAAACTTGTCAAAGGCCATACAACTATTTGAATTAGATTTAAAATTTGAACAGTATTTTTCTAACCCTAAGGACAGTATTCTTAAATTACACCAAGTGCCTCCCTGTAAGGACCACTTTGGTCCATTTTCTGCTGTTCTAGTAGAATCTCATGGATGAAGTTACAGACAACAGAAGCTTATGCATCTGGTGGACCAGATTTGGAAGCTGGGAAGTCTAAGAACAATGCACTGGTATCTTTTAAGGACTTTCTTGCTCCTGATAACACGGGAGACGGGCTAGCAGCATGTGTGAGACAGTGCGGAAATGTAGCCAAACTCATTCTTTTAATCAGGGATCCTTTCCATTAATAACCCATTGCTACAAACAACATTAATCTATGTATGAAGCCAGAGTTCCCATAATTTAACTGTCTTTACAAGATCCCTTTAAAACTATGGTTACAATGGCAATTCAATTTTGTTTTGGTTTTGTTTACTGTTTGTTTTTAGACAGGGTCTTCCCATAGCCCCAGCTGGGCTGGAATTCAACTGTAGACCAGACTGTCTTCGATCTCACAGAGATCCACATGCCTCTGCCTCCCACGTGCTGGGGTTAAAGATACGTGCCACCAGGCCCAGCAATTTTTAACATGAGCTTTAAAGAGAACATTCAAACACTAGTAGGCTCAGATTGTAGTCAATTGCTAATAGCAATTTCTCTTTAATGGTTTCTACTAAAACATTCCATTATAGCTAGAACATGGAAGAGACGGGAAAAATCAACGTTGTTTTAATCATTGGAATACTCCGCAGTCCAGTTCAGGCACACGCACACGAGGACAAGCCCACCCATTTACATGCATATTCAATGAATGGCAATACACGCAAGCACATATATGTTGTGACTGGAATGTTTAGTTTTCAGAATTGCAAAAACATCACAAAATAACTATCAACCACATCAATGAAAACTCACCAAGTCACTAGAATAGAAAGAGAAGACCCCTTTAATGAAAACCTTACATAATTACCCAAAGTTGCACGTGATTTTTAATAGACTGCAGCCACTCTGCTGCATTTCTATTTTATTTCTTGGACAAGATTAAAATATATTATTTATGCAGAATGGTGAGCACTTCCAACTACTAACACGTGGCCTGTAAAAAAAAAAAAGGAATAATCCCATTTCTTTTCCATTGAGCAATAGCCCTCTATTGGGCAGCAACCATGTACAATGTGCTAGTTCCCTGTTACTTTACCAGAGCCTCCCCTTTCACTCACCGCCCAGACTAAATAGCTATTTCTTGGATAATAAAGCAACGATACTAAGTTTTAAGATTCTTCCAAAAATGTTCCTGCCTGTCTTAAGAAATAATCATATCATTTTGCTAATAAGCAGAAGTACTCTGGAAGGTGAGTTTGTTGTCACAAGTGGCCAAAAAACATATAAATCAATCCATGACCAAGGAAAAACAATACATTTCTTATATTTCTAAAACATTATGATTGTGATCACAGCTGTAAGACATTGGACCATCATCAAGAGAGCAATGTCAAACACTGAACTACTGGATAATTTCCATAAAAATAACATTTTGTTTGAGATCAGTAAATTTTGTGGAACTTTAGAATTATTATGTTTACCATCTTTTTTAGAGTTGAACTTGGACACCCCCAAAGTGTCCCTCAAAATAGAAATACTGTGTCATTCAATGTTTGTAGCCATCTCTTTCTGAGAACGAAACTCAGTGCATGAAAATAGCATTATCTTAGTCTATGCAGCTTAAACTATATATTAAATACACAGGAAGGTAAATTTTCTCTTCAAATTTTCTTTGTTTAGTTTCCATGTTCAAGTCAGCTAATGGAAATATGCGGTGTGGTCATTAAAACCAACATGACTAAAAGACTGTGGGGTCTGTCTGTAGAAATCTTACCAACACCATAATATTCCTTAAAGTGAAAAAATAATGGCATTGGCAAATCAGTGAGTAAGTACTTCTGCTTGGAAATAACAGCTGACTATAACTTTTTGTTCAATTCTATATACCCCAAATAACTTGATATTTGCTTCGCACTCCTCTGAATTCTCATTTTTTATTAACTAGCCTACTAGAAATCATAATGTGGAGGTGTGTTTTATTGACTCCAGCAAGGCAAGTTTTCATAAAGCGATTGGAAGGTTTTGTGAGTACAGTCCCATAATGAAACTATTCATGGCGTAAAATCATTAATCCAAGGAGACTGTACTGGCCTAGTATACATATGCACTATTAATAATCCCACACCCTAGGATTCTGTAACCAGAGCTCAGGGAAAAAAGAGCCAAACCACTGAATTCAATACCACAGCCTGTCTCAGGACATAAAAATATTTTGGTTCTCTCATGCAAATAATTTTTCCAAAATATTTTGTCCATAGTGGCTTATTGTAGACAGCCTAATTTCAAAATTGGCACAACAGTTTTTGGGGTAAGCAGTCAAGATTTCTCCACATTGAGGAATAGTTGATTCACTTACTATATATTGATTTGAATATACATAAATTCTCATTGGGATACATGTGTTAATGAATCTTGCTGAAATCATGTCCTTAAAATTTATCAACTTTATATATAATGTTCATATAAAATTATCTAGTTAATTTACTCTTTGAAAGGAAATAGGAAAAATGCATAAAATTTGATGTCAGACTCATGTAATTTGGTCAAATTATTCTCAATGAAAGTTTCAGTAGTTGTCTAATACCATCCGAATAGAATTTAGTTCTTTATCCTGGCTCTGTATTAGATACAGTATGCCTATCAACAGCAAAACCTTTATAGTCACCTTGATTTCACTTTCAAAACTACCTAATAATGTGAGTCTGAACTATATCTATGCTACAAGCCCAGTTCAAGTCAAAGGTCTCCGTGGAAACCACCATATATCCAAGAAATATTTACTTGATTGATAGAAACAAAAAATTCCCGTTGTTGTAGCTTGGACCATAAGGTTATTAATAAATTGTATTCAACACACCACACACAGAGAGAAACTACAATGCAAATAAATTTCAACAAACAAATATTTGTGTTAAAATAAAATTATCTTGGAGTTCATCATGAACTACTATATTTCCATATTTGTTATGCAAATCAATTCTCTTCTCTCAGATAATATGTAAATATCTCCACAATTTGCAAATATATGACTGTTCCTGGTAACTTGAATATAAAATTGTCCTTTAAATATGTCAGATAAAATATACATATTAATAGATTTTTCCAAAAGCAAAGAAATTTATATAAAGTTTTCTATTAAATATGCATGAGTGATTAGCATGTAAAATAAATCCCAAACTTACAGGAATAGAATTCCCTGGCACTAAAACTGTCATAAACAAGTCATTTTGCTATATATGTATATATTAAATACGTTATCAAGATATGTATTTCATGTTTACATTTTTAAAAAATATCACATGGGTTTAACAAAAAACAGTTAAGTGAAAGATTTAAAGAGTATATATTTGGCATCTGTGGGTATAATATGAAACCCCAAATAAATTTGTACTTTTTTATTTGAGGATTTTATATATGAGTACACTATAACGGTATCATTTTTTGATGCATTAGGATAGCTAAAGAGAATATAATTGAATATAATTTTAAAACCAGTATCTTTTCATTTCAGGAAGAAAAGGAAGGGAGAGAAAACGAAAAAAACTCAATAAAGAAGAAAGTAAGGAAGCAATCCCTGACAGCAAAGGTCTGGAGTCCAGCAGAGAGACCCCAGAGCCACGGGAAAGCAAAGACAAACAGCAGCAGAAGAAGAGAAAGGTCCAAGACAAACAACAGAAATCGGTATCAGTCAGCACTGTACACTAGAGGGTCCATGAGATTATTGTAGACTCATGATGCTGCTATCTCGACCAGATGCCCAGGACAGGTGTTCTAGCCATTAGGACCACAGATGGACAACACTTCAGTTACTGTTCTGTCTAAACAACATTCCAAATAGTTGCTATATTCTTCATACAAGCATAGCTAACAACAAAGAGCCAAATGTTCAAAGAAGGGATACTTACAGATGGTTGTCTTACGTGCTTCTGTGTGTTTTTAAAAGACAAGAAATTTTGTACATAATTATCAATAAGCTATAAGCTATCCTCAACATAATGATGACACCTGGAGAAGAAACATCTTTTCCCTATAAAAATATTCTTCAAGTGATTGCCTTTAAGAAGCAAAAGGTAATTCTGCAACTTCAAAGATGCAGTGTCCCTTCAAAACAATTAAGAGATCAGGTAAAAGAAACATCATTCCAAGGACAGGGCGGATTTGTCCAGGAGCTTTTCGAATGCTCAGAATTAGGGCCTGGCCTGTGGAATCCTAGGATTTATTATCACAGAAGCAACTGTTTTAGGATTACTTCTATTGCCCTCATCCTGTACTTCTGCAAGAAACATGAGCATGTATACCAGAGTTAAATATACTGTACGGGATTGGAGTAAGGCAAAATGTGGAAGAAATCGTAGAGTTGGAGACTCCTTTTGTGCTTTACAAAACTGTGAAGGGCTGTGATCCCCCATACAGGTCTCCAGTCTATGTCAGCACTGTGAGGTTCAGCATCTGCTACCCCTCGGTTTATATGAGTCTGTAAACATGTGGCTGTAACTTTCTTCCAAAAACAAAATCAAATTTATTAGAAGAAAATTCTGATTTTATAGAAATCAAAAATAGAGTGAGGAGAACGTGACATGTCTGAAAAGTCATTTGTTTTCTTTTTCAATGAGGGAAAAACAATTTTATTTCCTGCTTAAGGGGCCACCTGGAGCTAAAAGGGATACTACTTTCTAACAAGGTGTGTCTTGGAGGGAAGAAAGCCACCACAATAAATAGATTTGTTAATAGTTTTTAAAGTTTGATTCACTTTGTTTTATTGGTAAAGTATTAGAGATTCAAGAACTAGGAAAAAGAATTCTGCCACATCAGAGAACCTATATCTTATATAGTTCAGAGTATATATTCTCAGTGTTTGCTCCCTGAATCCAGTATTGCCTAAGCCAATTGAAACTTACTAACAGGAGATAATTATTCAATTTTTTCTTACTTTAATCAACAAAATTGTAATTATGGACACATAAGCCTACCTAAATGATCTGTCTCCCCTTCATTTCTTAGACATGGGCATTTTATATGTAATTTCCTCCACCTGTGTTGTCAACATTTGGCCTTTTCTTCATATTTTCTCAGTCTGTGGATCTCTTTTGGGAAGTGGAGTCACCCTAGTGGAAGGCCTCACCCGTGTTTCACAGAGGACCCAGCCAGCCCTGCCCCATGCAGCAGGAGGGATCTTTCAGTGTGCAGCACAGACCCAGTGGCCTACCTTAGCCTTCTGCAGCAACAGGAGGATGTGCAGCTGCTCTGTTCACCATGCTTCCTAGCCCTCTGAGGTCTCTGCTTTCTGAAGAATTTGCAAGAAATCTGCCTCGTGCCTGTCTGTTTCTAGCACCCTTTCTCCACCAACTTTATTGCTCATTTGGGCTGCTTGGCTTAATTGGTTCTCCACTTCTCTTTTTCTCTTCTAAGATATAAAAAATTTAAATGATGTATTCTTGTTTCTTACTCTAGTCTTTCTTTCTTTGTCCAATTGACTAGATCTATCCCCAACATTTAAGGGAGTTTTCATTCTATCTTCAACTAAAACTTAGGTTACCAGGAGGAAACAAACCTCACTCTATACATTATGTTAAGTGGAAGTCTGTCCATTTTTGGAACTTGAATGCATCAAACACCATCTTTGTCTCAGTATTATCCTGTTGAGTATGGGTCACCATATTATTTTTACATATATTTCTGTTTATCATTGTCTTTGTTCTTCCAATAAGCAATTGTGCAATGGTGAAAAAGTATAACACACCAGGGCACAGTAATAAAGGCAAATGATTGTGTTTTCCCATGTGTCCTTCTACACAGAAGATTTAAATCTTTGATGCAAAACTTAAATGAAAGTACAAAGAGAAAGCAAATTACAGCTAGCATTAATAATGCACTGGATGAGATATACATGAAGATAAAAGATAATAACTTTAATCAAAATTTTAATCTACCTTAATAGATCCTTAAGCATAAGGAATTGTATAGTATTTAAACTAGCAGTCCTCCTTTCCTTGAGTGAAAACTACTCACTGACTATGGAAAAGTTCTTGCATTGTTATAAAAGGCATTGTTGATGGTAACAACTATCCAGGAAATTCTTGATAGAAAAAACAAAGTGGAAAGAGTGAAATGTCATAAGTCTGCCAGTGCCTGGTCCATACCCTTGCCCTGGTCTCCAAATTCTCCCTTCATAACTCCAAATTCTAGCTTACAATTGTTCTATTATCAGGTTTAAATTTTAGGCCTAGGGGGCAGAAGGTGGAGAGTGGGGAACCATGTCTCACTGCAACAAGAAAGAGTTGTATATATATGATCCCAGGCCAGGGAACATTTGACATTCCCAACACATTGAGGTGTTGCTCCTAATGAACCTTAACTAGTAACAATGTCATTTGGAAATTGTCCTAACTCTGCTTTTCACAGAATTGGAAATGTTTAAGATAATGCAGCTGTAGCTCTACTGCTCTGAAGTTATTGAATTAGAGCTGGCTCACATTAGTGTTATTCAAATACGAAAATGAGTAACACAGGAAAGAGGCTTATAATACAACTACGGCCATGAACAGGCCAACCTTCACAAAAATGAGTGGGAAAGAAAGTGGAGACTGCTCTGCAGCTAGACTTGGACAATGTCATAACGATTCTGCTGCTTACTAGCTGTAATTCTATAACCCTGGGCAAGTTGTATGGTCTTTCAGAATCTTGGTTCTTTCTGGCAAGGTTGTGATGAGAAATGAAAAGATTCGTGACTCAATATAACAATAATTATTCTATAGTATAAACAAGTCTCACAAAAGTAGTGACTAATTCTTCAAGTCAAGCATATAAATCAATTTTATTTCTTGATTAATATATGGAATCCCAACAGTATGTGTAATGATCTCAAGAAATAAATACATACAAGAATTATGGAATCAAAATGAATAGTAGTAACCAAAGGGTGAACGCCAATCTACAATTTGCCTTCAATCTTTTTTTTTTTTTTGCCTTCAATCTTAAAAGTAAGACATGATTATTCTTAAGAGGATGCACTTTATAAGTAGGCTTAAATAAAGAAACTTCATCTTCCCTGCAGATATATTTCAATAGCAAAAGAACTGACTACATTCTTTCTCTGTATTACTACAATGATTCCCAGGGAAATTAAGGGGAAGAGACTTTTTTCTAAAGTAAATTTGTTATGGAGCATTACTTCTGACACATGAAGGAAGTTTGTCTGGAATCCATTTTCACTAAAAGAATAAGGCTAAGTAAAACTGGTGGTCAGATCAATTGAGATTTTTCCCATTTTGAATGTTTTTTAGCAATATATTAATTTTGCCTAATAAGGAGTTTCTTTAAGACATTCTCATTCATCTCCATGAATGCACGTAATTATTTTGATCATACTCACTCTGTTACCTCTTTTGTCTACCTCCCACCCTTAACAATCCCCTTCTTCCTAACTAAGCCCCCTTGTACTTTCATGTATTTGACTGTGTGTAAGAAAGAGAGAGAGAGAGAGAGAGAGAGAAAGAGAGAGAGAGAGAGAGAGAGAGAGAGAGAGAGAGAACAAGTTTCTTTAGGTTTATTTACAAGAGCTTGGGCAGATATACCATTGAAGAAAATGTCTCATCCTTCCCCACCAACAATTAATGGCTTAGAAATCTTCAGGTAGTGGTGGAGTCCATTATCCACCCAACTTCATGACACATTTTGAGTGAACCCAATCTTGTACAGATCTTGTGCAGGTAATCACAGCTGCTGTGAGTCCAAGAGTACAGCCAGTCAGGTCATGCCTGGAAGTCAGTGTCCACTCCATCTCCTTTCTTCAATTCCTTCATTCTTTATGCCCCTTTTTCCATGATGTTCCCTGAGCCTTGAAGGGAATGATAAAAATGTTCCATTTATTAGTGAGCCTTCAAGAGTCACTCAGAGAATTTTCCCATTTGAAACACTAGTACCACATCTCACTAACAGATTGTTTTATTTTGAGGGTTTTTTATTGGGTTTGGGGGTGGTAGGGGATTGGGCTGTTTTTTATTTTTTAGAAAAAGAGAAACAAGATAGCTGACTCCTTTTGGTAGCCAATACTGTTTTTGCTAAGTTGTATTATGTAATTGTGCCAAAATCCCTCTAAAGAGGTTATTAACATCCTTGTGTTAACAAATGAGACAACTGTGGCACAAAGAGGAATCCAAAATCACACAACCAGAAAACATTACCAGGAAATCACACCCATCTCTGGCAGAGTCCAAACTCCATCATGTCCTTTAAAATCATATTTACTTTTAGTTCCAGAATTGACATGTCATGATCTGAACAATTACCTCAGTAAGAAGAGTAAGAAATTCAATCTTAGAGGAATCAAGCCAGGATAAGACCCCTAAACCTGAATTCAAACTGTGGCTACCAACGTGTATGTGGACAAGGAATATGAGTTGGGGTGAGGGGAGACACATGTGCATTGAGAGGCGAGAAGAAGGAAAAGGAGAAATGAAAATTTCCATCACAGAAAAAACAAAGTTCAAACTGAAAGATACCAGCAGGTCTGAATCCTTGGAAAGGCTCAGGATTCTGTTGCCCCTTATGACTTTGGAACAGGCCTCCATTTGGTTATTCTCCAGTATATAAACAGGATGCTTCCTAGAACTGCTTTCTTCCTCATGGTCCTTAATACAGAACAGTAGAGATGCAGAAACAGATCTTCACAGTTGGAACTGGCAAACCAACCTTCTGCAAACGATGCCATACTTCCTTTCAGCTAATTTCAGACACTGAACATCAATATTTTAATGTTCACATACCTTTTCTTCATGCAGTTTGTGATTCAAAGGGCAACATATCCATTGCATAACCACAAAGGAAGAGAGGAGAGAAGAGAGGACTGAGGGAGGAATTCCCAAATAGTAACTACTTTTATTCCTCACTATTAAGATGCAATGGTGAGAGCCTCTCAAATAGTGCAAATACCCTATTTACTAGGAAGGCAAAGGCATGAATATTTCAGGAGACAAAATTACATGACCATAAAATAATTTTACATATAAACAACTTGCAAATTTCTGGTACTTCTGTATCTATATAGTTGTAGGTAATGAAAATTGCTCATTGAGGTCTGCAAGATGACTCAACCAATAAAGATGCTTGCCACCGAGAATGAAGACCTGAATTTCACTCCCTGGATCCACATAATAAAAGGAAAAAACTGTCTTTGACCTCCACATTCATGCTGTGGCATACAAATGCATGGACACAAATGCACACACACACACATACACAAATTAAAGAAATACCTGTAATTTAAAAAGAACATTGGACAAATTTTTTGAGAGAATCCAAGATATTAAATCATCTACTAGATATTAAAATTTAATTTTAAAGATAGATAATTAGAAAATACATATCAGGAAGGAAAGTTTTTCAACAAAACTGAGTCCTAACTTCAACCTTGATACCAAAATTGACTGGATAATTGAAGTTTATTTGACTATTATGCTATTAATATCTCTTATTATTTAGTTATTCCTAATTTCTATCCCAAATAAATTTCAAGGATAAGATTGATTTTTTTTTTTTTTTTCGAGACAGGGTCTCACTATGTAGCCCTGGCTGACCTTGAATGCACTATGTAGACCAGACTGGCCTAGAACTCACAGAGATCCACCTACCTCTGCCTCCCAAGTGCTGTGGTTAAAGGTGTGTGCCACACTCCTGACAAGAGACAGAGTTTTTCAAAAAGCTCCTATACAAGTCCTTAAAAATTACCTTTATAATAAAAACCTAAGATAACCCAAGGTAGGGTAATTGCTTTGAAACTGCAGAACAAGTTGTTGTGTAAGCTGTTATTGCTGCCAACCAGGTTCTAGCTACTGCAACAGACTGCCTTTCATTCTCCATTCTTCACACTACTTCCCATATTGGAGATTTGTTGTCAGAGGAAATTATCCAGATCTTTGCCAGAAAGGAGTCATTGAACGTTCTAAGGCCTGAGGTGAGCATGTCTTTGAGGATGCTGCCTTTCCCTCTGGTATGACTACTTTGTTGCCCCGGCATTGGAGTTACATGAAGGGTGTCACCAGGACGATTTCACCTTGTAAATATTGTGACACCCCAAAGCAATAAAACAAACTACTAAATCTTGAATCTTGAACTGGAGTCATTTTTGAATCATTGAATATTACCAGATGTATTCTTTCTAGCTATGGTTGGTCCTGAACTCATTCTGTCAACCATCTGACCTTCATAATTTAAAGTTTCTAAACAAGAAGAAACACTTCAAATGCTCCAGCAAAATATAGTTTAGTTTTATCTGAACCTGAAATTAGACAAATATGGTTCCAAAAGAGGCACATACAAGCAGGGTCAGTTGAAGAAACTGAGTCAGTTTCACGTGAGTCCTAGTGTTCCTGATTGCCAATCTCCCTTTAAATGTTGGAGTTTTACATTGTGAAGAGGAGAAAATGAATTACTGTAGCAAACCAACATTTGTACTTGTTGACCATGGAATGCATAGAGAATAGTTGATGTGGACATGTGAAAGGAAGAACAAAAAGACTCGGAGTTCTGTTTACAGACCACCCAATTGAATTCAAAATGATATTATTTATAAGAAGGAAGAAATCATTAGAATGTGCTTTTCTGGGATTCCTAGATTTTCCAAATTTATATCAAAATTTCCCTTTCCCTGAGATCTTTTGGCCACAGTCATTTTTATAGGCCTAAGCAATGTGTTTCCTTGCTTATACCCTTTCTGTTCCCTCAGCCTAAGAAATCCATCAACTACATAACAGAAAAAAGAGTAAGTTAACAAAGTATAACTAAGTTTTAAGGCAAAATTGCTTTACCAAACCATCATTTGTTTTGAGTTTAATGTAGTTGCTTTACTACATGAATATAAAATAAGTCAGTAGATGCGTTCATCAGTAAGAACTTTGTTGAACCTTCTCTTCCTACTTTCATGGTTTAATGTTGTTCTATTTTGCATGCATAAAAAATGGTAAGAAAATTCTTCGGCTGTGGACACTTCTAGGCAACTTGGGTCATAAACACAATCACCTACTACTTCCCTGGTCTCCACTTCTAAAGTCTCTTTTGAGAAACACCTATGATTCTATCAACATTGATTAAAGGAAAAAAAAAAAAACAGCAGAAAAAAACAAAATGGAGTGTTCATAATGAAAGGGAATGAGGAGTAATAGACACACACTGGAGGACATCAGACATGCACATTTTTTTTCTAAAGCTGTGTAGCTTAATCCACACTCAAAGTAAACTATCTTCACTTCAAGAAACTGACTGTCTATAAATAAGTTGCCCGACATATCTTTAAAACAAGAACATCTTGGACTTCCATAATAAACATAAAAAAATAAATACAAAATAACATCTGGAGGGAAAGCTTTGTACACACTGGGATGAGAGGGAGTAACTTGTCTTAGAACTGCTAACAGAGAATAAATTTCTTTTTTCTTTTGAAATTTGGAAAACGCTTTCCACTATTAAGAAAAGCAAACCAGACTTAACTTCTTTTACTTTAAAATCTCAAATACAGTCTGCACTGTAACAGCTTCTCACAATTTGGGTTAACCTTTGTAAAAATTTTCATTCTCCTGTTTTCTATTATTCAAAACTAGAATAATCATTCTATTACTGAGCCAGTTATTCACTTAGATATGAAAACTATGTGTATTTAGTTACAATTATTACTTTACTTGGCAGACAGGAGAAATATTTCTTCTGTTTTGGCCAAAGAAATCAGTGTCAAATGCAATGTGCCAGGAAAGTCTGACACTTCATTGTAAGAGAAATCACTTTGATTGCAGCATTCAGTATAACAAGCAAAGGACCAAGCTTTATGGACTTCTGTATATATCCTACTTATGTGCAGTTATCCCATTTAATTAACATTTATAGAGAGACTATGTCAATGGCCAAGTGCTCTTCCTGCACAAAATAATCACATGAAATATTCCAGTCACCTAACAAATTTAGTGCACAAAGAAATTTAACAAATATGTAGATCCTTGCCTCCCCAAATCATTTCACTTACTTTATGTAATACTTTAAATACTATCCTTCTAGGTGGTACAGTA